ACAAGGAACAAGAGTCCTATTATGCAGACATCTGAAACGCAAAACCTCCTAAACGGTATACATAGACATGCTGGCACGACTGTCATTCATTCTATACATTCAAATGGTGCGTATAATAGGCCTTTATTTGTAGGAATTACGCAACAGTTGTGAGTGGACAACAATCGAAAGGAAAAGAAGGGAATGTCCCATCACCCTTTCCCTTTCCTTCACATTACGGTAACTGCCGTATCACGTGATTATCCTCATTGCATCACGCCTACAACACCGCTTCCGTAAGTGATGCTTAACAGTTAAAAATTATTGTTAAATATAATCTGGCCACACACCTTTACCGCCATGTGAATCCAGTTGTCTACTCAAGCATTTCTCTAAGCGGATTTACAAGCAGATGTGACTGCGGCGTTTATTTCCGTAAAACGATAACTCTTTGACGTTACTTCTGCTCATTGTGTAAATGATGACTGCCCTCGTGTGGAAGAAAGGACATTCTCACTTCCACCTCAACCAATCATCTTAACAATGGACGACCCCAAAGCACCACTTGGGTCCACAAAAACAGGTCTACGAAGGACTTTTCAAGTGATTGAAGTCTGTTGGTCTGTATCCCTGCTAGGAGGATAGTGACTTCTATAGAGATGGGTAACACACATTTCTAGATTCAAAATTAAGTTCAAACAGTTATCACAATACTAAACTTACTTTATCAGGCAGCTTTGTACTGCTCATGGCTCGGTTGAAAGATGGGCACATTTCTTATCTGGGGCCATTTTGATTCACGAATACAAGTAAAATGCTTTGATCAGTGTCGGTACATCATTTGTTTCCCGTTTGATTACACTAAATGCTGCAAAACAACTGCTTATATTAATAAGTTATAACGGCCATTACCTCTTTACGCAAACAAGTTAATACCACTTGGAGGGAAAATGTGGGCGCAGTGGATAAGTGCGTTGGTGTTCGGATCAGGGAGAGTTCACAGGTTCAAACCCACTGCAGTCATGTGTCCTGGGCTATATAGGACACTTCACCCCACATGTCCAAAGTATTGAGTATGTTGTCTCTTTGGATAAAAGCTTCAATGAGTAACATGTAATTATACGTGAACAACAAAAAGATGGAGGTCACAAGTAACCAAAGACATTTAAAGGACATTTGTGGTGCATTTGCTTGCGTGTCTTGTCAGTCCATTCAAGTTTAATCCACACAATGGTGGACAAACGACCTAGGATTGGTGATTTAGTACCAAACGTAACTCCTTTGTGTGTTCCGGTCTCACTCTATGCTACCAGTGTTTTGGGCGCTGACTTCTCTCAGTGAGCGCTTTCCCAGTCATTTGAGAGCAAACTGCTGTAGAGTTAGTACACTCAATTATTTGTATTTGAAGAATTCTCCATTGTCAAAAAGACAGGATAAACCCAAAAACACACTGCGAAAGAGCAGCAGGACACCAGGGACTCCGTTTGTAGGCGACTTATCATGAAGGGACGCTGTCAGTGCTTGGGCATAACTCAAAACAAATGTGATCCGTTCAGAGAGAGATTCCAGACGGCGATTCACATGAAGACATTCGCTGGGACTAACTCTAAGGGCTCATTTGTTGAGGCAAATTGTTTCCATTCAAGAAAGTCTGAGAGACTCGAGCATAGATTATGAGAACGACCCATGAGGAAGATTGGAGCAGCGGAGCATGCTGTGTAACAGTGCACTCCCGAGAAAGCAGATGTTTTCTCGTTTTACCTCTCTGGGTCAGGGGCCCTGTCTGCTCATTCAGCTCGGCACGTTTCAACTAGTGATGGATTACAAAATCCTAATTGGGGAAGAGGCTTTTTTGACAGCCTATAGAAGGAAGAGGGTCAAGTTCAAATGATAACAATTACGCAAAAGGTTTCCTGTTTCTGGTCAAAGTTCAATAACATTTATGGCTGGATAATATTCAAGATTGACAGCTGTAACTTAGGAGGGATGGTCATTGCTCTGCTATTCTGGAAGGGTTTTGCATGACGTTGGAGTAACTTGAGTTGATTTTTATCTCATTGATGAGTGAGTTCAAAGCATGTCTACACACATGAGAGGATGGATAACTATAGTCACACCCCTGAGCAGGTCCACACGGGGCAGGGTGTGACCTGCTCAGGTTGTGACTATATGCAGGTTTTCACTACATGTCGCTCTTTGTGGGTGGAAATGTCTTTGTATTTCACGGCCGTAGAGCAGGGGTGGGACTCCGGCTCCGGGCCGTATACGGCCCGCGAGACCATGTGGTACGGCCTCGAATTAATTTATAAACACCGCAAAAAGAAAAATTAAAGAATCCAGGGACCGCAAAAAAAATTAAACAAGCAAGTGCTGTTTTTCCTGGCCAAGGTCAGGGTCCTTGAACACAACACAGCCTAACGTGTCTCACGTGGTATATGTCTCGTTCTGACAGGTGTGAGTTTCTGACGGAGAGCACCAGAACACGGCTCAACACTTCCAAATTGCAGTAGGCCTCCATTAGGAGCGTACCATGCTCGCAGTTTCTTGCGTGGCTCGGTGGGCTGTGCCTCTTTAGTTGAAAGCCCAGAGGCGATTGTGCTCTGTCATGATACTGTCATTACAGTCCTAACTTTCTTGTTATTAGCATCTGGTTGCTATGCTATGCCTAACGAATATAAGAAGCTTTTCTCCAACCAGTGAGGTAAGGGCAAATCTTATATATGGCATTATTATACCAAAATAAGAGAATAAATAACAGATATAATTACTATATGGACAGTAAAAAAGTGTTATTAAATAAACACGAATACAGTTTAAAGGAAGTGATTTGGTTAAATTCCATAAATAAAAATAACACTGCTTACAGTCTGTTTCATATGGGGTGGTTGGAGATGTTCCATAGTCTCTTATGTTGCTCAAACGTGCACCAGATGATCTTTTACTTCAACATTTAAAAACAAAATCTTCCCGGGGGAGGATGGCCCCCCGAGGAGGAGGTTGGGTCCCCCCCCCCACTTAATCATGTTACATGGATGGATACTAAATACATTTGCGCACAATCTTGTGTCCGTATCTTTCTGTTTTGGTGGTCATGCCACAACCGTGCACGTGCATGCACGAGTCATGGTGAGATATCTGGATTCAGAGGTTGCTGTTTCTTTGCACAGCATGAAAGAAAGGCCAAATGAATGGGCTGTGATTTTTTGTATTTTTAAGCAGAGGTCAATAATTTGTACGGCCCTCGGAGGATGTTGAAAAATTGAAATGGCCCTTGAGAGGAAAAAGGTTCCTCACCTCTGCCGTAGAGAAACAACACTCCCAGAACGAAAAGCGCATACATACAGCCACCTGTTCTTCCCATATGGTAGAACTGAGGAAGTGCGTGACTGAGTTGCCTGTTGCATGTGGGAACAAAGCTGAGGTGTTGATGCTAAAGAATTATTGGAAGCATCAGGCGAGTGATCTCTCCTCTCCTCCCTTTTAAAACACCATGTACATCAACACACGGCTTATACACTTTCTTTACATGTTGGATCTTAAAACTATGTTTGCGGTTCCATTTACGAGAGATCGAGTGAGTTCTAACATGACGAATTCCCTCTTCTATGTTGTGTGATGCATCTGTGAATGGTTTTCTTTAATTACACAGTCAGTGCTGCTCGTTTAATGTTTGGGCTTAGATGGATATTGTCTAGGTGTCTGTGGCTTAGGGGGAAAAAGGGAGTTTAGAAATGAGATGTTTGGTGGTTTGATCCCCAGACCCTACATCTCAAAGTGTCCTTGCGCAAGATGCTCAACTCCAATTGCTCTAGTAGGCATGTTAAAAGTATATTTAAGTTTGTTTTGTAAACTTAATACCAATTAATGTCTAATAATATAATGTCTTGGTCTCTTGCCTGGTTTAAAACATAACTACATTTTTGCAAACATCTTTCCCAATTGAAGTAAAAGGCTAAAGTCAAAAAGAAGTATGATATAATAGTGGACAATGGCCCTGTAGACCAACTGCCTGCTGCTTACGCTGTACTTTCCAGTGTGGTTAGCATCAATTTAGAAAAAGCCTCATTTTTGCTTGCGGAGATGCGCTTGTTATTCCCTGCCTAATAATAAATATGTTATAAAAGGCCGAACTGCATCAAATGCTTGTTCCTAGAAAGCAGCATATTTTCTGTGGAAACCTCATGCTTGAAAAGTAATTTAAAGGTCTAACCAATAGCCTATTACTTTACACACAAAATTGATTTGTCACTGATTGTTATAACACCATTTCAGTTGATCAATTTGACACAGACATATTTACATCCTTACAATGCTTTGTCCCAGTAAATGTATACTTACAGCTTCAGTGTGGATGGGGTGCACAGCAAACAGCAATGCTGCCACCAAGCTGGAGGTGTTGTCCAGGAACAAACGGCACACTCGCAGGAAAAGCACACATACTACGGCGTGTAGAACAACATTGAGAAAATGGTAGGAGGCAGCGCTCAGCTCACTGAAGAGGTAGTTCACTCGAAAGGTGAGTACCGTTAGGGGTCGGTAAGATTTATGGCTCCGCTCCTGTAGTGGGATATACACAATATTCTGTCAGTTGATGGACTGAGAGACATTAAAAGGGTGACACATGTTTTGTTTAGCTTTTAAGTGATGTTTAATGAATCCATTATAGTCAGGTTAATATGAGGAGGTTGCAACAAAGTTCCCTAAAGTTAAAATGAACTCATTGTCCCTAATAAAACTATTAATACACCACATTTTAAAGACATCCTCTTTAGCTTTTATCTATAAAAATGTAAACTTAGTAAGCCCATACTGATAAACCAAAGGTGTGTTATGGACAATGACTTACCTCAGACATGGGTGTTCCCCAGAAGTCATTTTGGAATAGGTTGCGGATAGGGGTTGAGGGTCGTAGGTCCTTGTTGTCAAGGATTGCAGAGACATCATCAAACACAAAGCCGCAGGACAGACTGTTCCAGTAACATCCCACCACCAGTCCAGTCAAAAGTAAAATCTCCTTCCATGACACGACAGCCATGGCTGACCAAAGCCGTCATTGATCACTGTAAAGGACAAAAAAAGGGGTTTGACATACAATACAATTAGCTGACATAATTGTAGCTTGTCAAAGATTTGTTTCCTAGTTGGACTTAGCAAGTATTCAATCATAACCACAATGAAGCTCTTCAAATTACTTGGATAGGGCAAGTTTATAAAACTACCATATAAAGTATGTTCCTTGTATTGTTCTTTTAATGTGCTTTTGATGATACCTTGTCCAAAAACTCACTCACAGGCTGTTTTACCACCCTTATAAGCTTATACAAAAAATACATCAGACATGCATCCGGTACAGTAACAGCTGGCAGCAAAAAAAGTGCAGGGTGGAGCTTAACAGCAATTTTTAACCAATGCTAGCTTAATGCCCTCTTTAAATAGTTATATCACAGACATTTGTTATATAAATACAGTCAACATTGGTATCGCTCGATCATGGTGTTTAAAAAGGACATGCATGCTCAGATCATTCTTGAACCGGCTTCTGCAACACAACGTTAGCAAACGATAAAGCAAATATAGCAGCTAGCTAGTGCTAGCTAGGTTTGTACAAGCATTCAAGACGGTTATGGTGGAAGCAGATTAATACGAGGTATTTCTTGAATGTCCCACCTACCGTGGCTATAAAAGGACTGACCGTGACTGCATATGTGATATCAAAACGTCAGAATGGTTAACATTTTCATACATACGGAGTGCAGAGTTTAGCAAGCATGGATGTATAAAGAGAAATACAGCGTCGTAGGTGGAGCACCGTTCATTCCTATGAGAGTTGCTCAGAGGCGCATGAAGCAAAAATGTACCCGTGTGTGGGCCAACAGAGCATGCGCAGTTGAGTTTCCCCTTAAGCCCCGCCCTGATCTCCAGCTCTGGCTCAGTCAAATTAATGGAGAGGAGACAATAACTCTTTAATCAGCTTTTAGCGCATTTTAAAACGTTAAGACTGTGGTGATTTAAATAAGGGCTATAATAGAGTCCGTGCTCTGTAGTTTATTTAGCTAAAAAAAAATCCTACTCAGATTAACAGACGTCTCTTTCCCAATGTAAGTCAATGGGGAAAAGTATTTTGGGGGCAAGATGACGTCAAGGAAGATGTAGTACCACCGGTTGGCCACTACAGCTATTCCAAAAACCGGCTTCAACGGGCGGCACACTTCCTGGGGATTTGATTAGCAGAAAGCTAGCTGCAACCGCTTCAACACATCTTCTCTATCAGTTCCGGTTCAGAGTTGACCGCGCAAGTTAAACGTTAGCTAAAAACACTCGGTGCTTTTTTTGACAAACGTTGTTAAAATGCGACTTATAAGTACTTTGTGGTAATGCTCTTTCCGCCATGCATGTTAAGTCTAGTATATTTCCTTGAGAGGACTTACCCTGCGTTTTTAAAAAGTTGTAGTTGTATTTCCTTGAGGACTAACGTTAGCTTTTTGTAGCTAACCAAGTTACAGCTGGTGTTGTCAACGGTAACCTAGCAGCCGAAGCATCATGGAAACTTCAGGATGGATGTTTACTGACATTTTAACACACATCTACATTTAACTTATCTTGGCAAGCGGTGTTAAATAACAAGAGACATTTGCTTACAACTTTCAAAAGACAGCTAGCTAATTCATGAACTCAAGTGGAATTTGTTGTAGCAGTTAGTACTGATTTAACGTACCTAAAAGTAATCACAAATGTAGTTAGCTAGTGTCTAAACCAATTTCGTGCTACAAGGCAATGTTAAGTCATGTTTTCTTAACTCCAAAGAGCTAACTGACCAGCTAACACTGACATTGTGTAGCTGACAGGTTTTTATTCTGCACAATTCCTCGTTAAATATTAACGAACACGCTACTGCCAAGATGCCTGCTGCTCTGGACTGGGATAAAGTGACCAGAATTGAACCAGAGAGCCTGCTTGAATGTGAAAATGACCAAGTGGACGAAGTCTTCGGCATGTTTGTTTCGGTAATTTCCACCCTTCACGACACTAACTTACACCTGTCATTTTTGCAAAATTGAGCAAACAACAACGCTTCTCTGGTTTAAAACTACAGTGGGCAGTGTGTTTATCCATGGCTACTTGAGAAGGAAGACTCCTGTCCTGCTGATCTCTTTGGAGATGATTGTTTTATACATTCTTTCTCAGTGGCTTTTTCAGCTAAATATACTTATCAGATTGTTTTGCTTTCACTGCCTGTCCTTCTGTGTGCAATGTTGACCTGGATATCTCACATAGTTCTAGCCTGCAGAACTTAACGCAAATGTTAAGTGAAAGCTGTCAGTCCAAGAAAAACTTATAATTGTATGTAGCTGTAATATATATATATATATATATTAAAATGTTCCTATATTTTTTAAACTTTCCCTTTCTTCTGTCCCTGTTTTTGTCCAGATAATTGTGAATATTGCTACTATGAGTTCAAATTGCTCTACAGTTGTCATTTTTTTTACTTCAAACCATGCTTTCCATGCAGACGGAGGATTGGGAGGTGAAGGATAAAGCCCCGGAGAACATCGTTCAAGTCCTCAGAGTGTTCCAGACCCTATTAAAGGTGTTTTCATTATGATCACTACTATATTCTCATCTCCTACACTTACACCTACCAGCAAACCCACTGGCATGATTACATAGCAATATATTGTAATAAGCAATTATATTTTTAGTATTAATAATTAATCACTTACATTCAAATGATTGACCGTGGTTGTACTCTGTTATCCTGCTTGAACATTTGCATTTAAAAAAAGTAATTTTACACTTACAGTAATCATCTTCTCTCCCTCTGCCTAAAGATTAAGGACCAGGAAGCTACTATTGCCGCCAACTTTGTCGAGGACATTGGTGTAAAGCATGCTAAAACCGGTTAGTGAATAAACACTTTAGTTGTCAAAAATGGTTTAAGCTTTGCTAAAGAGCCCCATTTACATAGTGGCTTATTTGTTCTGCACTGTAGAAAAGGAACTCCTCGCCAAGGTGTCAAGGCTGGAACGAGAGCACAAGGTAACGTATTATTTACCTGTTTGTCTGTCTGCACCTGTTGTTTATTCTCTGTGTCTCATCATACTTTTGTACTGTATCTCAAATATTGTATCTCAGTCCTTGAGCTACTCAGGTTTTCCACTAGGCTTAATGTTAATACTGATATAAATGTGAAAAAAGAAACAACAGATTACTGTGTCTAACTGGAAATCACCCGTCATTGTTTTACTTCCGGCAACAGTGTGAAATCTTAAGCCAATCATAGAGTGTAACCCTGGCTACAAAGGGATTGGTTGTGGTGACCACTAAACCACAGCTAAGAAGATTAAAGCTTATTCCTTCCATGCTTACAACCAATACTTTACCTGATTATTATTTAAACTTTTAAAGGTTTGTAATCAGAGTTTGCTCCCCTGCTTTTACATGCTAAGGAAGTGTAAGTGTTGTTGTATGACCGTGAATGCATGTATTAGTGTTGCGAACAGATGGAGGTGATAGGACACTAAGTGGGGGTTGTTTGTGTGTTTGTTTGTTTTGTTTCCGGTCCGTACGGTTCAGCACTCCGGCACGGGGCCAGACAGCCGCTTTCTGAGGGATGAGATCCGGCAGCTCGAGACCCAGCTGGAGCAGAGGGAGAAGGAGTTGACCCAATTAAAGAAAGACATGGGGAAGGAAAAGAACACAACCGAGGAGGTATGAGCAAAATACCCATAATTCCAACACACAGCATAAGACGCTGGATTAAGTATTCAGTCCTTGGTTGACCTACAGATAACAGCTGATTAGACAGACATTGTGCTGGTATGTCATTTAAAGAACATGCTACTGAAGACCCTTATTGTTGCCTCATGTTGTGAATGGAAAAAGTTAGTTTAATAATATATTTATAATAGTAATTTTTTAATATTTTTATTGAAGACACGTGGCACAAGGAAAACACATTTTGACATCAATGGGAACCACAGTCACATAAACGAAACAACTAGTGATCGTCTTAGTCTTTACTACTATTGTATTGTATGGGAGGCGTGTGGTGCAGTGGGTTAGTGCGTTGGTGTTGGGATCAGGTGGAGCACAGGTTCAAACCCCACTGCAGTCAGCATGTCGTTGTGTCCCTGAGACACTTCACCCCAAATTGCTCCTGTGGGGATTGCCCACAGTATTGAGTATGTCAGTCACTTTGGATAAACGCGTCTAACAAGTGACATGTAATGTAATTGTACATCAATTAAAAAGTGATACTTTGCTTTTTTTTACGTTTTGCAGTTTGTTATAAATGTTTGTTTTAACAAAGTTTTTTTTGGAATAATATATTAATAATATCATTCAAAGTAATTGTTCTAATAAGGAAATTGTAAAATAATAATATGTATAATAACAAATAGACTTGAACTAGACTGTGGCCAAGTTTTAAGTGTGGCATATTTCAAATATTTGACTAATAATCTTTAGTTTCACTGATCATATTAAACGTTGTCTGCTTCCAGTCACATTCCACTGATTAAATAATGATAATATAATTACAGAAAATAATAAAAAATAATGTTATTGAATGTTAAATAGTGAATTCAAAAATATATAAATACATCAACAAATAAACATATAAATAAAATATATGAAATCGTAAAGATATGTAATTAATAAAAGAATGGAACTAGGCTATGGCCAAGTGCGTCTCGCCTCTTACTGTGGACAGGAGGCGTGTTTATGTGTTTTAGGCCGGGACTCTCTTTACTGATTGGCTGCAGACACTCTTGCCACAATGTGACAGCAAACCGTCAAACTATCCCTATCCTTCAGTTGGGGCAGAATCAAAAGGCCCAGGTCGCTGAGTTCGCAGCCTTTCATCGTTGCATGGCAGCTCGCCTCACTTTGCGGCTGCTCTGGTGTTTGTTATGAATCTGGTGTAGCTAAAGGGTCACTGTGTTTCTGCAATTCTATCCACTGTTCTGTTTTTTTTTTTTTTAGTTGCTCGTGCGAGCAGAAGAGGCTGAGGATGTGGTCAAGAAGCTAAAGAGAGAGGTATGTGACTGCTGGCACTACATGATACAGACCCTGACTTATTCTTCATCCTTTACTTCATCACTCAGTCCATCATCTGTCCTTACTTCATCGATAACTTTAATTCATGTGCTCTGGCATTTGTTTCTCTTACAAATGCTTTCTTACAATTCATCATCCCTTTTCATTTCCTACTCCATTGGCGTAGCTAAAAAAGCGTAAGAAGAAGGTAAGTAATACAGGTAGTGAAGTCAAATTAGATTACAGTTCATTGTGCTTGTAGTTTTATTAGGGTTCAACTGAGTACACATATGAACCATCTCTCTACACCTGTTGACTTACTGCTGCAAATTGGTTATTTAGCTGTAACTCTTAAAATAACACACAAAAGGTTAGAGAGAGTTCAACCAACGTACATACAGACCAGAGAAGAAGGTATCAGGTAAGTAGCAAATACACCGCATTAGAAAGTGTACTCTTAAAGACCTGGGTGTATACATGAAGTGTACTATACTTATGAACACAAAGTGCAGTTCCCTGTAGTTCCAGAATAAAGTCATGTGGTAGATTATGTGGTAGTAGAGTGTGGGTAACTCGTCTCAACTCAGTCAAAGTCAACTTTAATGTCAATCTTACTTAGTTTGTGTTTACAGATCGAAATGACGTTTCCAACAATCCCGAATGTAAAATGATACAGTAATACAGATATGTATAAAATATGTATATCCTGACCTATATACACAATCAACAGACACATTTACACATATGCACACATTAAAGTGGACCTATCATGCTATATGTGAATAATATAGTGTAGGACCATACCTATATAAGGCATATTTATACGTTTTATTTTTCAAAATACCAAACAGATCATGCATTTTAGCCATTCCTCATTTCGCTCAATTTAACACCGTCTTTACCGACGCCCTCGGTTAAGAACCATCGTTATGCCCGCGACTAACCGGCCTCGAGAGTTAATAACCGCTCTAAGCACCATCGTCCGCACTTGCACTAACCGACAGCGATGGTCTTTACTCGAGCTGAGTGTCCTCTGGCCCTCGCGGTTTTTGGCGGGTATAGTTGACAATTATATGAAAATTCTGGAGGACGCCTGTGGGACTCTGTGACATTTGAAATTGAAGAAACTTATAGAAAATGTTCGTATGTATTAGAACAAGGTCAAGGTCAGGACGGAAATAATACATTTACCGTTTACCAAACCCCAAAATGTTCTGTTACGTAACCCTACACCCTTAAAATTAACCAGGTCATTAAGGGTCTCTGGTTTTGTCCCTTGTCAAAGGTTTAGTTCACAAATTATTGACCACTTTACAGAGGTACGTCCTAGATGTCGTTCTGAGTTGACACAGACTCCCCAGTAAACATTTTTTCCCGGAGTAGACATAATCTAGCAGTACTTTCTTTTACACCTAAATCTGGTAGGTCCAGGTCGACTTATTTTATGGAAATTAAGAGTCCCACTGGTTTACGAGTGTACTGGTTCACTTACTAAATAGACGAATAACTTGATGGATACCCGGGGTACTCCCAACTCGCTACCTTATTAAAACAGAGGACGCAGTGAACTACATAAAAACACAATTCAAAAGACAGATCACAGGGTTGTATAACTTATCCTTGTATATAATGGAGCTTTTAATTTCAATTACAACCTGGAGAGGGGGGAGAGAGGGACGGGGTGACCTGATATTGAGGGTGTGTGCGTCTGTGAGTTTTAAGTTGTGAAAACAAATAACGACACGATTCCTGTTAGACGATATTTCGTGCTTAAAAATACCTGTTAGAACGGTGGTTTCAATAAACTATAAACTTCACTGACAATAAAACTATAATAACTAACAACACAAAAAAACAATAGAAATTCCCCTTGATAGCTAAGTTTTACGTGGAAACATGCAGAAGACAATATGTAATTATACACAGGGGCACAAGGTCCCTTGAGAGGTTCACAGTCTTTGTGTTGTGAGAGATAAAGGAGGTATGGGTTTAGAGAATTTTTTTCCCCGACGTTGCCTAGACCTATGTCTGACTAAGGTCCTAAACTTGTAAGATACTGCAGTATCTTCACTCGCGATGCCGATAACCCGGTTTGGAGGTGGTTAGGTCCTCCTCTGTCGGTGCCTGTAACGGCAACCTTTCGCGACCTCTCGGCGACATCATGTATACGGTCCAACATACATCTAACCACGACAAGAGTGTCTTAGGTCNGTAGATGGTGCTGTTCTCACAGAATCAGCCCATGAGTGTTAAATTGAGCGAAATGAGGAATGGCTAAAATGCATGATCTGTTTGGTATTTTGAAAAATAAAACGTATAAATATGCCTTATATAGG